ACCCAAACGTTCCACCTTTTCTAATTAAAGTATATCAACATACGAAGGAAGATACAATAACTGAAAAATATAATTATTGCAAGCTGAAAACTATTAAAAGATAATTTTGAGTTAATGAAACAAAATAAATAAATAAATAGAAATTGACAATTTTGTTGCAAAATAACGGGAAAAAAATAAACGTACGTTAATATATTTAACAGTAAAAATGATGTGATAACTACAACTTCGACGAAACTAACAATCTTCATGGCTTGATCGTAATTATTGTGCACCCACGTTTGAATATATTTTGAAGTTTTGTTGACCCATTCATTTTGTGCCCCCGGAGGACCGGAAGGATGTGGTGGAGGAAAGAATGTTTGAAGGATATTTGTTCGGAAATATGTAATGAAATGGAACAACGAAAATGTTGCATATGGGACGAGTGTGACTAAAGATGGAAAAGAAATGTATATTAAATAAAGTTGCGACAATTTATATATTGGAAAAGATATAACACCGCAAAACTCATCATTATTAACTTACCGAAAACCGGTGTACTCATAAACCACATAAATGCTAGCAAAAAATAAAATACATTTTCGTCTTTGTTTATCTTTTGAAAATATTCCCAGTTAAGACGTGGTGTCTACAAGGCGATAAAAATTTAGTATAAATAAATAATCTCGATCTTATAACTCTAATCTAATTTTTTAAAAACTAATAACTTGTGAATCCACTTGTAAAAATGAATCTTTGATCTAGATCATCATTCTAAATGAGTTACTGTTTTCCTACCCTCCATTTTCTAAGAAAAAAAAATAAAAAGAAAATATTTTGACTATAATAAAGTTAAATTTGTTTAAAATCAACTCACGCCAAATGATTTATAAATGACAACACCGTAGCTCAGCATAGCTCCAAAATATGCTACATGATAAAAATTTACTCCTTCGGACGAACTAAAAGTGATCCAATACCAAAAATAAAAAGACGTGCAAAAAAGCACAATACAATGTCCACACCACCAAAAGAATTGAGGATGCTATAATGTAAACCATAATAAGTATTAACATCAAAAGTATCTCGCGTAAAAACTTTCTGCAGCAGGAACAATCAGTTACCTTGGCAAGTGTCCAAGCACGGTTTGCGAGAGGCTGTTTTGCCATTCTGTCTGCTTTAAGACCAAATACCTGTCACTAAATCTCTGATGACTTGTTTTATTTAAAAGAACAGAAAATTTTAGGGAAACTACTTGTATGTGAACAGAATATAGGTTTAAATCATCAACTATATAGCACAGATTTGGCAAAAATCTGGAAACGTCATCGGTACTCACATCCCCAATCAATTTTTGGCTGTCGTCCTACCGATCTATAACAAAAATTTACTTTAAATTGTTGATACTTTAGTCATTTTTTGTATCACTACTTTCACTGTAAAAGAGACATAACAATGACACATGATTATATATCAACGTTTGTATCATAAACAAAAAAGAAGAATG